TCGAACGCACTCGTTGTTGATATCGGATTCAAAGAAGCACTTGTCATACCGGTTCATTCTTGATCAATTCATTTCTTTCGTCCATTTGTTTGTACGGTGCTTAATTCATTCAGTCGTTTGTTTGCTTGTTCATTATTTACGTATAATATTGCTTATTTCTCGGTTTATTCATGATCGAATTTGTATAATACTCGTCGAAGTAAGTGAACGATGCATTGGTCCTAAGTTCAACTAATTCAAAAGTTCTCCTGTTTATTGTTTTCGCGATAGTGAAAGTAATCCTGAATTGCTAGTGAAGTGAACGATTTGAGAATACGTATGAAAGTGTTGTCGATCGGTATTGTCGCACTGACGTTTACTTGACCAATGAGGTGGTTGTATTGATTGAGAGGAAGTCGTTTTGCAGATTCTCGAAGGAGTGACGGTGTTGAGCAATTGGGAGGTGTCATCGGTGGGGGCGGGNGTGGGTGCGGGACGACTCGAGCAAAGGGTCTTAGAATTGTTACATAAGTGAGTTGATGAAGCGATTGTATCAGTTGTGTGATGATAATGACTGTGATAATGTGATAGGAACGAGACTGTTCAAGGAATTGATAGCACGAATGACTTGGTTGGTAATTGAAGGCATGGAAAGGTGATCACAGCGGATGGAACGGAGCGTGAAGTGAATGAAAAGGATGACGTTTTGTTGGAAAACAACAGCATTCTAGAAGATATCGTTGTAAGGTTTTGTTTTGCTACGAAAATGGATCGTGGTCTACAAATACAAGCTGCAGGTAGAGCTGAGTGTCGTTTATTTTGATTCATCTATACCCATTTTAGTCCCTGTTTTGAACGCAATCGAACCTGATTGATTGTTGTATTGAAAATGCTACTTTCTTCCAAGTGTCAACACATTCTTACAATAGTCAATTTTAAAAGCGTATTTCTGAGACATCATTCTAAAAAAGACATGAGAAGAGCGATTCAGTAAGAATTGTAAATTTTGGAATTTAGCTTCACAGAACTTGGTGAATTTCACAGAAGAGTCACTCCAAGATAGCAGTAATCGATGAATTGGCTGTAATAATTGTAAATTTAGCTGATATTTAATAATGCCTATTGTAAGTTGTTATCCAAAATGTTCCGATTTGTTGTTTTCAGATTATAATATTGAAGGCGATATACCGCCACCACCATGCGGTCTCAGCCTTCCACTTGGTGATGAAATGCTTCACATTCCTGGGGTAATCAGGTGATTCTACTGTTCATATTGATGTTTTCACTCGCAGTTATTCATCTTCCGAGTATATTATCCAGTTGCAAATTTAATCATATTTTTCGCATCAGTCAATTTTCGGTATGATTGAACTCAGTTCCGTGCTAATGAAAAACTTACGGCTTGATTCGAGTAGGAATTTTCGTGTGTATCCTAGTTGCTTTCGACTTTTGCTGGTTAATCGATGTATTGAGTGATTGTTGGGAATGAATGGTTTAACGAGGTATATTTTCAGAGAGTGGGCAGCTGAAGTGTTGTTCGAATGGAATGATAACGATAAGTCACTACCGCAATTAATACTGGATTCAATCTATCGGGTAGAATAAATTATCGCTTTTCGTCAGTCGTAGATAGCTTCAGTTTCGAATTCTCGTTATCCAGTATTGTCTTTGGTGGTGAATGCACAACAGTCTAGCAAAGTTTCGCAGTTGCATTTGGATATATGATAAATGTTGGGAATAGATCACAAACCGTGCAATTCTTACCTGTTCCATTGAGCACGGCATTGATCAGTAATACCAATCACGGATTCAAGAATTTTCAAGATTAGAGCAGCACTTTTTGAACTTAGTAGCTTTTTCATTGA